ATTTTCTTGATACGCGGTTTTGTACTTTAAACGACAAACACATTACCAACTCATATACTAGCCATTCGATTTTGCTACTGGGACATTTCGCAATGCATGTACAAAGGTTGGACCAACAAAATAAGATAGTAGCGGCGGTGGCGGGCTGCTAAGCGTAAAAATGCGAATAAGCGGAGTAAAACGCAGACCATGAAACAAGAAAAACAAATGACGATGTGAAGCAAAATGCCGCAAAATAACAACAAGCTGTGTAGCGTATTCGGCTAAAGTACACATATTTTTCGAATTTCGAATAGGCGGCGCGTACTCACTCATACACATACATACATATATGTAAATACAAACACATACTCATTCACTCTCTCGTTTCTCCTACGCCGATTTAATACAGCGCTAATGCCTCGCACTAATTTCGACGTGGCGTAGTCCGACATACTAGGTACATATGTATGTATGGATATACAGAGGGAGCAGAGCGAGTCTCGACTCAGTGTACATATGTATGTACCTACGAGTATGTGTGTGTGTTTTTGGCTGTTTTGACTTAGCTTCATGCCGGTTATTCGAATCCAACGAAACCGGCTTTCTTGTTACTCGTAAATCATGCTTTTGTCCAGGGGCGCAGTGCATCACTGAATTATTTGGTGGTTCGGCATTTGTTTATCTTTTTGTCTTTGTTGGTGTACTGCAAATGCATTGTACGAGCATGAAGAAGAATGTGTGACAAGACGACAACAACATTATTGGGATCCAACCCAATGTAGACTCAATGGAAATATGTATGTACTCACTCGATGGCAGGAAGAGTGTGTATTTGTGGCGAGTGGCGGCAAAATTTTTCAGCAGCGATCAAAACAAAATGGTAATGACCTGCAATGCCGCATTAGCTTTGGTTTTGGGTGAGGTTGTTGGCTTTATGGGCATAGTATGCACTTTGTTTTTATTGCGCATGAAATGAATGATGCGATAAGTTGGGAGCCTTTACCTGCGGAATAAAAATTGCGATTAACTTCTTACTTAAGAGCAACTCCTTTTGTTTCACTAATTTTTCGTGGTTAGGTTGTAGGCTTCTTCTTCTTCTTTATTGGCGCTGTAACCACATAATCGATTTTGGCCGAGTCGAAAACAGCATGCCAATCGTGTCTCTTCGGTGCCAACTGACGCCAAGTAAAGCCAAGTCCTTCTCCACCTGGTTTTTCCAACGCAAAGGAGGCTTTCCTCTTCCTCTGCTACTAGCATCGCGGCCCATGTTGAATACTTTCAGAGCTGGAGCGTTTCTTTCCAGTCGAATGGCGTAACCTAGCTATCGTAGCCGCTGGATTTTAATTCGCTGCTCTACGTCTATATCGCCGTAAAGCTCGTCGTTAAATAGGTTGCGGTATTCGCCATCGTCAACGGGTAAAGGCCCGTAAATCTCTCTAAGAATCTTCCTCTCGATAACTCCAATAGCCGCGCCATAAACCAGCACAGGCATGATGTTATACTTAGACTTATAGAGTGTGCTCTTTCTACGACGAGAGAGGACTTTACTTCTCAATTGTCTACTCAGTCCAAAGTAGCAATTGTTGGCGAGAGTGTTTCTCCGTTGGTTCAAAAGGCTGACATAAATATTGGTCTTAATGCTGGTTCCCAAATAAACGTAACTCAAACTCGAACTCGTAACTGTCAACAGTGACGTGGGTGCCCAGACGCGTATACTCTCACCGTTTGTTTGATGTCAGGAAGTACTTCATTTCGCAGTGGCTTAGCCAGAGGGGGAGGCGATTGGGGGGAATAATGACAAAATACATTTTTTTTTTTATAAATACTTGAATCTTTAGCCTGTACACACTAGCCCTTTCTTGGTCTGAGATTGCAGAGGTAAAATTCTACTCCCTTCTCTCCCCCGTCCAAAAAAAAAACCGACTTCAGACGGTCTAAAAATACTAGTGTGTCCAGCCCGACAACACAAAAAGTTTTATAAGAGTTTTATAATGGTTTACTTGCGCAATACTGAAGAGCAAATACTCTTTCAGTTGCTCTATGAAATAGTCTATAAAACTCTTATAAGATCAAAGGAGCTCCAACGGGCGGGACTTCGCAGTGTAAAATGCTGATCTATGATTAGTTGTAAATTTACTAACTATAATATTTAAGTGATTTATAAGGCACCTTGAGTAGAGCCTTTGGTACGTCATACGAAACTGAAATATTTTAGGAAATTAAATGTCAATTGATTAATAATTTCAGGACTATGTCTAATTTGTTCGGCATTTTTTCTAAACGTAATTTTAACAACAACCGTAGCTGATTGGTTAAATGTGCGTATTGCCACTTCGTAGGACCTGGTTAGATCCGTGGCCCGAGCAATATCTAAATTAGAAAACATTCAAATCGGTAATCTTCCGTGATGAGCATTGAATAGAGTATTTCGTCACCTGAAATGCAAAAAGACGTAACAACATCGGAAATAAAATGGAAAAAGTCGTGACAAATATTTATTTTTTTTTTTTTTTCGTAAAATGATGTGGGGAGTTGTAATTCGATGAAATCCATCATATAAATCTAAAGTGAATTTTGAATCTTTTATTAGTTATGACTTTTTGCATTTCAACGATGATGTTTGTTACGTCTTTTTGCATTTCAGGTGACGATTTATTCTTTCATTACACAGGCTGAGAAATTTAACTTTATTTTTCTTCTTCCAATAATTATGTTATTTTTTTAGAATTGTTAAAAATTTTAATGAAAAGCCAAAAATTAGGCAAAACTAAAACTAAAATTTTTCTTAAAACCAAACAGAAATAGTTAAAAGTAAGCCTAAAGAGACCAATGCCGTTCTTTTTCTACCGAAAAATGTTACTTTCTCATTACCCTCTTACTAAGGAGAGGGCCATAAAAACTCAAAATTTTTGTAGAAAAGAAAACGCCATAAGTAAATCAAAAAGTCTGATGGAAATTAGAATTTAACGCTAGAATATGCTGCAACATTAAAGAAAATGAAAAACGAATTTTCTCGGAAAATTTGTGTTCATCAATTTTTTATTAACTTTTTTCGTAGCTTACCTACTAGCACCAAAATTTCCCATTCGTTTTTCTGGTTTTCCAAATATTTGATTTTGTCTGTTGTTGTTTTTTTTTTTGTTGAAATAGAAATTTGTTGGGATAGTAAGCAGAGTATTCGTTTTTGCAACGAATTACCGACGATGTTCGGATCGCTATCGCAACTTCCCTGGTTCTAACTTTAGTTAGAAAAAGTGTTATTTTTCGGTTAAAAGGGGAGCAATTAAAATATGTCTGAATTTAAGGGAGCAGTCCGTTTCCTACAAAGGCATCAAAAGTGGTATTCGTCGCATAATTATTTGCGCTGATTCCTGAGTCATCTCGGCTTAGTGTCATTTTTTGTAGGGTTAAACGAGCACTAATACTCATTCATATGAACGTACATACATACATACATACATACATACCTTCATACATATTTGCGTATTTAAGCGTAAACATCGCGAAGCCTAAGCGTAAATAATAAACACAAGAAGCAAAAAGTATTAAAAACAACAATAACAATATCATTATATCAAAACAAATACATACTCAGACATTTACATAGATATGCATGTATGTATGTATGTATGTACATTCATTTTATTACTACATAGATAATGCGCCGCCGCTGCGCCATTTAACTCAAAATGGTGGCGCTGATTGTTTAGAGGGGCCGTCACAGTCGCTATCATTTTGTTGTTGTTGCTGCTGCTGCTGCTGGTGCTGCCATGCTTGATTACTTGTTATTGTCGTTTGCGGGGTACCGACCAATGAAAAGTGGAAATGGCGTCCGACTATAAATTGTTGTTTATTTATTTATGTAAATATTTATGTAAATAAATTTGCATGCATATGTATGTGTATGAACATATCTATGTATGTATGTATCTACGTACAAACATACACTGGCGATCAAAATCGAGTACTGTGTGGTACTACATTTCATTACTTGCAGTAGCACTCAGCAATTCGTCCTTATTGTGCAAAGAATAGAGCCTATTATACAGAAAAGCTAAGCTTAAACCAGAAACAAGCGATTCACAGTAAAAGGTAAGGCGGCTATATTCATTCAGTTTTGAAGTTTTCTGTTTTGAGATTTACTGAAATGCTGAATAAGTTTTTAGAAGATGCTGAGGTTTTCTAATGATAGAAAAAGCATCAACTAAAACCTTAATGCAGCAATCCGAATCGTTTATTCGAACTTTCGGAGTAAGAAATTCACAGCTTTTTTTCGTAATTTTGTACGAAAACAATTGTGTGCCGGAAGCGAGATAAAAGATGTAAAATAAATCTTTCAAATTCCCGAGCACTAGTTTATTAATAAATTGGGTTTGCACTATGCACTTTTTCAATGTAGGTTCTGCAATGCTTCCGCAAGGGCTGCAGTATGTGAATTTCTCGTTTTTCGTTACGAACAAACGAATTACGAATTACGAAAATTCTGGTTCTAGTATAGGAGTGTAAATTTCATGCAAATCGAATGAAATTCAATATATTCACACAAAAGTGTAGAGGGCGTAGGAATGTGCTAATCTTTACTATAAATATTTTATAATTCTCAAATCCGTAGAAAAATTTGAGCACATGTTGAGCTTCAGCGAAATCCGTTCAAGTTTTCTATTGTTTCCAATGCATTTTATGGAGTCGCAACATTGTGCATCGTTATGTTAGCTTTAATGTTCTACATTGTCGGTCAGAAGCACCAATAACCAAAAAGAAATTTTTAAGCAAAAAAACAAATTTAAGAGTACCGTTAATTTCCTCATGATCCGATGATCGGATCTAAACTAAATTAGTATGGGACCACCTTAAAAGAAAAAGAATTATAAAAATCGGTTAACGTGGTCCAAAGTTATGCGATAACATACATAAACAAAAATATTGCGACGAATTGATAAACTCCTCCTTTCTTTGAAGTTGTTTAAAAATATGTATTCAAAGTATACGCTACGTTCGTGGCTATTCGATTTCCATAGATCTAACAATTTCGTAGATTTCACGAAAAATCGGACTACGATGGATTCTGTGATAACCCTGAATATAATTGAAAACGCAATTCAGAAGAGAATAAGGGCAACAAATAAGACTTACACTGGCAACATTAAACTTATAATGAGAGCGAGCATTATCTTCAAGCATTGAATTCTTCGAAAGGCCTGCGGATTTAGTTAGCCCACTTGGATGTTGGTCCAAGTTATTAGAGGGTTTGTTATAGCTGGGCGTAGCAAACTGCAGACTAGTGACTCCTGGAAGAGCATTGTGAACGAAGTAAAGCTTACAGTGAGCAGCGGTAGTACAGCCTGATGATGATGATGAATATGCCAAATATGCCCAATGTCCTTTAAATAGATCACCTACGCATGAATTTTGCAACACGATTACATATGCTGATGATCTTGCCCTAATTGCAACCGGTAAATATGTACCCACAAATCCTGGGAGAACTGTTCATGTTCCGTACATTTTATGTATGCAAGTATGTAGAGGAAAATTGGAGAAAAAGATACTAAAATAGGCTAGGCATAAAATTGAATGAAAAATGCCCAACTAGATTTAAACCAGACTTTAAAGAATAAAAAAATATCTATACATTTCTCTTAAAGCGCATTCCTTCGTGAGCGCTGCGCCACTGCTGTGTTGTTTTTTTTTTTTGAACTCTACACCAGCATTTGTGCACTCTCGTTCTCTCTTTCGCATCTTAACTCATCCGATTCATCTCACTCTCCTTTGTCCTCATCTCGGGTCCTTTGCAGAAATCTCTGCATTTTAACTGTTCTGCTCTGCAGTTGGTTGTCGGCTTTTTTGGCCAGCGAATTGTGGTACGCGCTCAGCCGTACTTTTTATTCTCCTCCACACACTCCCTCTTCTACATAGTCGTATCTATCGGGAAACTATGCGTATTTGGAATTCCAAACGTTACACATTAATTTTGTTGCTGTTGTTGGCACGTAGTTTGCGTTGCTCCGCACCGTTACTGGATAGAGACGACGGTGCGCTGCACTTTGAGCGAAAGAAAATTTGTAAAATATGAAAAAATATGAATGAATTTGTAACGCGTTGTAAAATGTTCGTCGTAATGGTGTTTGTTGTTGCTGATGCTGTCGTTTACTATTCGCACAAGCTGCCGAAACACACACAAACACTTCGCAAGGGGTGTGTATATCATAGTTTAGTGTTTATGTGCGTAGTTGTTTCGCTAGACTTTTGCAAATCCGACCCCCCCCCTCCGCGCGAGCGAAGTGTATTTAATACAATTATTTATTTAAAAAAATTGTAGCAACAACAACTGGGTTTTACAATTTTACAACTGCAGCAGACTTGCTGTTGCGCTTTTTCATCGTCGCTTTTGATTCGGTTAAGGTGAGTGGGGGGGGGAGATGAGGATTCGCAGAGTACATTTGGGGTGACAGCCGCCTCTTTCTGTTCTCGTTCGAGCTTTTGCGCCACTTTTGTTTACATGTCTCGGCCATTCGCCTCAGTTCGTTCGTTCAACTGGCGGTCGGCCGCTCCTTTACAGCAACAGCCAGTAGTCTCGACCACTAAAGTAACCGCGTGCTATGCGCCACGCCCGCCAGAAAATAGGAATGCGGCTGCTTTGCAATTGAGTAAAAAAATTGTATAACAGCAAGAGGCAACAACGGTGTCGAAGGACCAAGAGGATGAGGTATGTATTGGGGTTCGACGTTTTGCAGGTCCCATTGCCCGCCAAATTTACGAGTAGCCGAAAGTTTTAGAACTGGCGCAAAGTAAAAATTTGGGTATTTTGTTAATCCCTTAGGGGTCATTCCAAGATGTCGGACCTGACATTCGTACGACTTTAGAGTTAAATAAATCGTACGAAAATTTAAGTCTCTTTTTCTTTAATTCGTGCTTTTCAAGAACAAAAAGAAGATAATGTACTATATGGAAATACATTTAAACATGGATATGTAAACATAAACGCATATGTGTGAATAGTACACCACATTATGTCCTTTAAGTGCCCCTGCTCTTCAACCGCATAAATGCTAGAAAATAAAATTCCAGTTGCTTTCCGCCAGTGGCGCAGATTGCCAAATCGACGATGTCGATCCTTATCAATTTTAATTGGATTTTGAGTGCAGCAGTAACATACATACATACATACATATGTACTATGTATGCACTTGTAGCTCTACGCGGAACAAAATTGTAAGTGGGTTTGGTTGGCTCATTCAACTTGTGGGGTTATAAATCAAAATTTTATTCGTTTTGCAAATAGCGACCGCGTCATTGTGGCGAGATTTTAAGGACTTACAGTGAAGTATCGTAGATAGACGCAATGCGATAAGTGTATAGAAATTATAGTAAGAGATCAAAAAGGAATCCGCGAAAATTAATGTAATTGGAAACGCTTATGTGGTACTCAAAATTACTACAAAAAAAAATAAAAAAATAAAAATATGTAAGTAAAATACAAGCAGTTATGAACTTAGGTGGTTTTACTTACCAGGTAAATTGTCAGATGCACCTGAACCGTCTGCAATAGAAGAGAAAACCATATTATTAGTTTTGAGCAGAAATACCGCAACTTTGGCTTGTTTAATATAAGTCGTAGCATTTTTTTATTTATTACTATTTTTAAGAAGGAAAATATTTTGTAGATAGATAATATTCTGTTAGTTATAACTGGGTTTACAATTATACAAAATTTAAAATTGTAACTCCCCCATTAGGGATAGGACACGAATGCAATACATATACATCTGTATATAAGTGTGAAATGATATCGACTGCCATAATGATAACGGTAACTGTTTCGATAAATTTCATAGTGCTACAGCATTTTTGGGGCGAAATGAAATCTCCAAATATTTGTGCATTTCCAGATAAAAATTTTTCTTTATGGCTATATTAAGCTTGCAATTCTTTGTCTGAGTGTTGTTAGAATAATCGCAAAAAAGGGGTGAAACTATTAACAGAGCAAAATACCTAGTTAGGCTACATATAGTAAAATTCACAAGGTATAATTTTGTAGAGTATTTTAACCCATTAGCTCGCACACGAAAGGTCCTTTAGACCCATTGTTTGGAGAGTCTGAGTAAAATGGCATTTGTGAGGTCGCTAGGGTTAAAATGTTCTAGAAAATTATTAGCCGGAAAATTTCAATAGGGATATTCTCTGACAAGATCTGTATACAAAGAAAGTGAAATATTAAATATAAAAAAATTGTTATGCTATCTTTTAATAGCATTTACTTTGTGAATGAATACCTAATCAACAATATAGCCTTGTCTACATACTTTTTTAAGTCCATTACCATCAAAGAAGTTATACAAGAATTTTTGGGGAAACATCTTTCTTGTAACTACGATCATTCTGTTTCAAAAATGTGTTCTTGAAAATACAGTATTTGGATCATCATGCGGTTTATTTTGGTAAGAATAGAACGAGCGCTACCATGCAATTACTGCTCCATTTGAAATGAGGTAAAAATAATAATACTCTAATTAAAAAAAAAAATATTTATGTTTAGATACAGAGAAAAAAGTTACCAAGTCTCCAAAGGTAATCTACTAGCTATGTATATGAATCCATTTAATTAGAAAACTCGACTTTACTGAAGTCGTACGAATGCGTACAAGAGGGCACACTTGTGGGGAATCAGCGGGGCGCTCCGGACCATTTCCACTCCAGCGCTTAACGCTATGCTTAGAGTCGTAAATAATGCGGGAAAGGCTGCTGCAGTGTGCTCCGCTATCAGACTGGTTTCTGCTTTAATTTAAAGATGAATATTTGGAAATCACAGCTCTCCAAAAGGTTGAATGGGAAAGTGGCAGTCTCTGGTGGCACAAATAGTACGTATGGATCAAAGTTAAATATTCGAGTTGGAAGATTGGAATTCCAGGGAAAAAAGCGGTTCAAGTATATATATATGTATATCGATAGCAAAATCATATATGTATGTATAAGGAAAACATGGCTTACCCGGCATTAAAACAGAAATTGCGGGTAAGCATAACTAAAAAAAAAAACCTCTACATGTAGTATGATATATCTAAGCATGTATGTATGTATGTACTTGTTTATTTAAAAAATAAATTTATGTACCATTTCAGATCTAACAGCAACGTCTACAACCCGAACCCTTTGAAATAATTAAAAGTGGCAGCGCAAAAGTAAACGAAAAAAAAAATGAAAAATTGATTAATGATAAATAAAACAGCCAGCAGGAAATGAGTATACAGTTTTTAAAGAAATGAAAATGTTTGTTGTGAGAAAATTTCAAATTCTAATTCCGATATGGGAATGACAGAGTCAGTCAACCCCTAAGAGGTGTTTTGAATAAAACGATTTTCTTGTAACATTCTTGAACGGAAACATGCTCCCCTCTGTTGGCTGTTGCAAACTCTTTCCGACAACCGTTCAAATTCCAATTTGTCTGCAGAAAAACGTGTTTTCTTTGCAGCAGACGCTTCAATTTCCCGTCTGCTGTGAAACGAAAAACGAAAAAAAAATACTTCCATACGCACTTTTCCGAACCGCCACGCTGCCGACGACAGCTGCGATGAGTAACGAAGGGTGGTACTGCGCCTAAAAGCCTACCACGCACAGTGCTCAAACTCGTAAATGTAAAATAAAGTGCAACAACCCTTGAACAATAAAAAGTTTGTGTTACAAGCGCGAAAGCCAGACATGCGGCCAGCTGAATGGCATGAGGAAAAGTAGAGATGGAGTGCGTCTGGTATTCGATAGAAAAAGCGATGCGTCAGACAGATGGACAAGCCGTGTAAAGCCGTGTTTTTTCCTTATTTCCGCAATGTACATAGTAGTTGTAACAAAGCCATGCGTACAAAGCGGCTACAGCAGCAGACCCCTCTACACTGCAAAAAAAAAAAATAAGCTACAACCACAAGATGCAGCTTTGAGCAGAGAAAAAAAATGTTTATGAGCCACTCTGTACAACAACTAGAACGCCGACAAATGTGGGCATCCCTTGTTTATAAATTGTGTGCGTGATGGTGTTTGTGTGCATGTATGTACGCGTTTACAAGCCCACTATTAGCCGAACACGCTTTTGGTGTACGGCAATTCGTGCGTGCGTATCCGTACATGCATCTCCATTTGTAGTACACAATAATACATCCTCCACTTTGTGAATCAGATTCGCCATTCATGCCACTAGTCGGTCTTCCATGCCACATAACCTCACCTCTCTTGCCTGTCTGCACCAGCCTAATTGCCGCAGCTGCATCCGCGTATGTTAGCTTGCGCTTCAGTTTGCGGCTACGTCAGCGCCGTCTGGTGACCTGAATTTTGAACCGTTTGCCACCCCATGTCGGCTGAACGCACACCCCCACGCTTCCTAGTTGGGATACTTTTGCACATAGCAAGTCTTCAGAGCTTATCTCGAAAAGTGCGTACTTTGCAGTGCGTGTACTTCAGACACACGTCGGCACACGCACTAACACACACAATCGCATTAGCCACTTGTGTGCGTGTCTACATTCGAGGGGGTTCAGCGTACTCGAAAGCTTATTCTAATAACGGCAATGCGCGCTTTCGAACTTAGTCCGAATCGCAGCCAATTTCTCGTTCTGACTTCCTAGCTTGGTGTCTCGGAAAATTCCCACTTTGTGCGTAGACGAGCAGACATTGGGTTTATGAACTAAACCATGCCGTGTGTAACCAACTTCTGCGTTGATACTCATCGCTCTCTACCCAGCTGCTCAATACGGTGTATGTACATACTTATATAACTAGGTACATATGAAAGTTCTATAAGGGTAGCAGTTAGTTTGTAGAAATTAGGTTGAGGAGTATCTTGAGTGGCGTTCATTGTCTGAGTTGGCGTCGGACGGCACATTTTCTCAAGTGATTTTGTCGCTATAAATTGTACTTTAATGTGCAATTTGTTGATTGTCCGTTGTGGCCTGTGATTACGCGTTTATACAAATTGTGGCACAGCTTTGTATAACATACTTTTGTATATATATTTTTTTTTTATAGACCAAAAGGTTAAAAGACAAAGCCATTGGCTACCTTGCTTCTTAAGAGACGCAATTGGTTCTTATACAAAGCAGCTCAAGTATGATGCGGAGGCTGTACTTTTTTTTTGTCATTGACAAGAGAGAGCTATTCAAGTTGATGACTCCAACTCGATTATAACGTAATCATTATAAGGCTAGTAACCTTTAAGTATTAAGTTAGTAACCTTTGCTTTTAGGAAAAATTGTAGACCAGACCCCAGAACATGCTGTGGGGAGGAGGATAGCTCAGACGACACCATTAACCAAATGCGATTTGAAAAGGCATTCGATAAAGTTGTCTGTGTCGCCCCGCCGATCAGGCAGCGTTATTATTTAGCAAGTCTGGTTACTAAATCTAAGCTAGTAAAGAAATGCAAAAGTGCATTAAACTCTAGTCTAAAAATGGCAATTTTATATGGGTTCTCGCGCAGAAAAAGATCGAAGGCAATGATAAAAGAGATGAACTGGTGAAGGTTGGAGCCTGGATTGGACGATTCTGATATGACAATATGCCGTATAAAGAATCCAAAAATAAAGTAAGCAGCTTTTCTGTCTGCTTACTAATTCAGTATGGCAAGATATCACGAAAATTCTGACCTGGCTGTTATTTAAGTAACGAAGACTGCAGAAAACCTTAACAGATAAAGGTCAAAAGAAAGACAGCTAGTGCATCTGTGATGACCTACAATGTAGATATATGCGCAGTCAGCAAATTCATTAGGGAGTCAGGATAGTTTCATAAAGCAATCTTAGCCACATTGCGCTAATTGTATTACAGATAGTAGTTACTAGGAAGCAAATAATATGACTGCTCGACCACAGGGTAATTACATAGGAAAGTAATGAAGAATTAAGGGTGGATATCCTGCCAAAAGTTAAGGATAATGTATGTAATTTGTGTGCACTTGTTCTACAAGATCTTTGCCATGTTAGAATATTAGATACATAACTTTAGAAACATTAAGATAAAATTATTAAATACCCAAATATTTGCACTTAATTGCATATGGAACGAATATGTCAGGTTACCTGACAGACAGTGACAAAATCAATTCAAACAGCCATAACAGGAGGGAAATCCACGGATTCGGCCCTACAGTATCTGGTTAGTATGATCGAAAGTGCCTTCGAGGTCAAGGAGATCGCTCTGTGTACTCGAGGGGGCTTTCGACAATACTGCCTATGGATTTATCTCAAGGTCAGTGGCCTAGACTCTACTACATCGTCCTTAGGCAATACTCGAATGAAAATCAGAGCCGCGTGAGGCTGCTCAAAGCGAGGTGTCCTTGCTCCCTTTCTTCGGTCACTTATTGTGGACTACCTCTTAATCAGACTACATGCGTGAGGTTAAGATTTTGTGGGATGCGCAGATGACTTGGCAATTATAGTTACGGGAAAATTCGGCAGTACTGTCTTTGACGTTACTTGTGAAGCTCTTCGCGCGGTCTCAAACTGGTGTGCCAATGAGGGCCTCAGCATAAATTCTCGGAAGGCTATTCTGGTACCGTTT